CTGGGCTGGATAATTAGTGGGAGTGATTACGATGGGTCTTCGAGAGCTTTCCTGTCCTCTCTGAAAAAACCGCTCTGATCTTGCTGGTACACGATTTCGAGAAAGTCCAGTGGGCAGTGACATTGAATGCAAGATCTATGAGTTTACCATGTCAGCTGTTTAGTCCGTCCCTCTTTGTATGCACAATTGATCATGTCGGTTTGTATAGTGTCTATGTTGAGAAACAGTGAGGTGAATGTTCCTAGTTCCTACAATCGATCTATAAAAAACTTCAGTCCGTATAGTTGAGTCCCATTTTACACACGTTTGCTCTTGCTCCCATGATAAAGCGGGGTCCTAGAAGAGAGTTATGAGTAGTCGCAGCTGCTCTTATGCCCAAATGTCGGTTTGTCCATCAGTCCATGATTCTCTAATGTGCATGGCAATGGGGTCCTAGAAGAGAATTCTGCTTGTCAGAGTTGCTCTTCTGCCTTGTTTGTCATTGTGATTAGTTCTTTGATATACATGCTTATAGGGTCCTAAAAGAGAACCATGATTAGGCTTAGTTGCCCTTCTGCCCCATCTTTGATAATGGGGTCCTAGATGGGAACTATGACTAATCCTGGTTGCTCTTTTGCACCCATCCTACCATTTTCTCTATGGTTCTTTGGTTAGCATATGTATATTGTTTATGGAGAAACAGTTTATACAATCGATTATAAATAAATTCACTCCCTATAGTTCAGTCCCTTTGTACAAATGGTGGTTGATCTTGCCCCGTCTTAGAGTCAAGAAGCTTTAACATGAAAAAGTGGGTCCTAGAAGAGAGCTATGACTAGTCACAGCTGCTCTTCTGCCCAAATGCCGGTTTGTCCATCAGTCCATGATTCTCTAATATGCATGGCAATGAGGTCCTAGAAGAGAATTCTGCTAGTCAGAGTTGCTCTTCTGCCTTGTTTGTCATTGTGATTTGTTCTTTGATATATATTCTTATAGGGTCCTAAAAGAGAACCATGATTAGGCTTAGTTGCCCTTCTGCCCCATCTTTGATTTTTTATGACTCTAAAGCTTCATAATGGGGTCCTAGATGGGAACTATGACTAGTCCTGGTTGCTCTTTTGCCCTCATCCTACCATTTTCTCTATGGTTCTTTAATTAGCATACGGTGACTATAAGATCTATGAGTTAACATGTTGCCTGCTGGGATACTTTGGTATATTGCCTATGGAGAAACAATTCATTCAATCGATTATAAATCAATTCACTCCCTATAGTTCAGTCCCTTTGTACAAATGGTGGTTGATCTTGCCCCGTCTTAGAGTCAAGAAGCTTTAACATGAAAAAGTGGGTCATAGAAGAGAGCTATGACTAGTCACAGCTGCTCTTCTGCCCAAATGTCGGTTTGTCCATCAGTCCATGATTCTCTAATATGCATGGCAATGAGGTCCTAGAATAGAATTCTGCTAGTCAGAGTTGCTCTTCTGCCTTGTTTGTCATTGTGATTTGTTCTTTGATATATATTCTTATAGGGTCCTAAAAGAGAACCATGATTACGCTTAGTTGCCCTTCTGCCCCATCTTTGATTTTTTATGACTCTAAAGCTTGATAATGGGGTCCTAGATGGGAACTATGACTAGTCCTGGTTGCTCTTTTGCCCCCATCCTACTATTTTCTCTATGATTCTTTAATTAGCACACGATGCCTATGGAGAAACAGTTCCTACATTCGATTATAAATCAATTCACTCCCTATAGTTCAGTCCCTTTGTACAAATGGTGGTTGATCTTGCCCCGTCTTAAAGTCAAGAAGCTTTAACATGATAAAGTGGGGTCCTAGAAGAGAGCTATCAATAGTCGCAGTTGCTCTTCTGCCCCAAATTTCTGTTTGGTTATGTGGAACTGAGGCATTTGGATTTAATACCGAGTTGTCTCTTGATTTTGCAAAGTTAAAATCATTGAACTGTACTCAATCATGTGTTCCTTCTTTTCTCCATTCAATTAAATAATTTTGATTCAAGAGACTCATGTTCTCTAGTTTTGCTGCATTCTAAAGCTAGTCTGATTCTGGAGGCATATCTAAATTGGAAGGATTATGGTCTGATTCTGTTACAAGTTGGTTTTTGTTGCCCTCTAAGCTAGTTTACACTATGAAGTCAGGAAGAAGGATGCTGATATGATTTTGTCAGTGTTATGGTGCTTCTAATGATTTCCTATTGGTTCTTTTATACCATATGATGGACTGAAATTCATAAAATCGGCATCTTTTTCTTCCAAGTAAGAGATTAGGCCCTACATTTTTTGGAACTCTCGAGCTGTAACTCTTAAATGGTTACTTCTTAAAAGACAGCTTTGCTATCTTTGATCTTGGCGCCCTGCAATTATTGCTGGTACCTATTGAGAATCACTTTACCGTCTCCTTAGCAAGACTGTTAATTTTTGGTAATTCTCCATTGATAGCTCTGTTCAGTCTGTTGGCGTCTTAAAATGCACAGCTTTGCTAGCCTGGATCCTGATCCATTTACGATACTGTTGCCTTACAAGCTAGTTTACATTAGAATTTTGGAAGACGGATTATGTTATGATATTATTGGTATTAAGGTGGTGCTAACAACCTTACTGTTCCCTTCTGTTCAAATATAGCACATGATGAAATGAAATATTGTTTTCATTGAGTCGAGTTTTTTCTGCAAAGTAAAGAAATTGGATCGTACATGTGTTGAAGTTCTCCCAGAGCTGCACTATGTAAAATGGTTGCTTTTGATGGCTGTTATTTTTGGAAGTTCAGCTTTTTCACTTGATGCCTCATGTAACTGTTGTCTTTTGATCTTATTGCCTTGCCATTTATTGTTGATAGCTATAGAGTATCACTCTCCAAACTCTTAGAAATGTTCACTTTTGGCAATTCTGTATTGACGAATATATTGGCGCAAACAGCAGCTTTGCTTAGCCTTGATCCTGTCCAAGTTACAATTTGCTGCTGTCCTAGAATTGAGGTAGTAGTTGATCTTTTTGCCACCACATTGTGGTGGTTCTCTATTTTTGTGGTTGGGATTCCCGAAGGAATTGTGTTTTGAGTTGTTGAGTTTGCTCCACTGTCCAGTTAGCTCTAGTCATGGAATGACCTCTCCTTTCCACGTTCCAAGCTTGACAGTGCTGTAAAATGGAGTAGTTTACAGGGCACTTTTGGATGTTCAACACGAAACAGGACAATCAAAAAGTGGTATGGTACCTACATTTAGATGATTGTTTAGTCATATCAGTTGCTCCAGATTAAGTGATTTCTGTATTTAAAACTGTTTTTCCATTGTCCTAAATGGAGCCATTAATTAGAACTTTGAGATATTATCAGTTATTGACTCCAGCTTCCAGTCACCTTTTTTTGTCCAAAAGGGAACTTTTAGATATTATCATCTACTGATTCCAGCTGCCCCTCTATATCAAAACTATGGGTGCGAAAAGTTGCGTATGAATTTGGCTTATAATTGAATTGAGATGATCAGTTGTTCGTGGATTTGTTCTAGTATCCTTCCCTCAAATCACAATCATGGTGGGGACTGTAAGCTATGGATTGGCTGTCCTTAAAACATGTTTTGCTTACTTAAAGTGATGCCCAGTTCTAACACAAATGAGATGGGAATGTTTGTGTTCCATCAGTTGCCCTTCTATCCACCTCAAATTTGCTGGTTTTCTACTGTTTCGCAGAGTGGAAGTCCTAAATGATCACATCATCTTTCTTTTTTGTTTCCACTTTCCAGTGGATTACTCAATTGGTGATTCCTCAAAAGTGGATATTGAAATTGTGACATTATTACGATTGTTTTGTGATCGATGTAAATGCCTATAAACACTACTAATAAGACACCCTTAGTACTAGGCAGGGTGTCTTGTAAGGTTGCCGTAGTGTTTGCTCCTCTTTCAGAATGCAGTATGTAGACTTCTTTTCATGTTATGCTTTGAATGTTGGGTTATCGTTGATGCTTGGTCTATGGAAATCTTCTTGGAGGGAGCTCAATTCTTGCATGTAATGAGCATTTTTTCTGTCTTGATGGCACTTCTATTGCTTGTATCTCATCACTTATGTCAGAACCGAAAGTGAAGTAGTTGAAGTCTTGCAAGGAAAATTGTGATTGCACATACAACAAAAGTTTTATGCCCCTATGTTATTTTTCCTTCTACTAACGTAGAGGAAAATTCAATTTTAATCAGCAGCTGGCATTCAATTTTTCCACTTCATTGCAGGTTGCTAAAACTCTTACGTAAAGGAAGTGCCGCGGAAATGCTATCCCCATGTTGTTGTTTTGCTCTGGTGGTACTTAAATAAAATACCTTTGAGGGTGTTATTTGATGAGAAAGATTGTTAAGTGAGTTGCCCTCGGTCTCTGATCAGGCGTTGGTTGTTTGAAATTACAGTGCAGCTTCAAAGTTCTGCACCAAATACGAATTTTGCTTCTAATGGAGGTAAATTAAGAATCTGATTTTCAGTTCAAGGGCTTCCTTTAGCCTGCCACTAGAGAGTTGCTTGCTCACTGGCCTTTTGAAATTAAGGTTCTTATCAAAATAACTTGAGAACACTGCCTTATGGCATTCTGTCAGTCCTATTGCTTCTTTGGGTCTAATTCTGGTTTGATTTTTCCTATTCCAGACACCAGGCAGTTACAAAGGTCGCCATGATGGTATATGATTAAAGGAGAGCAGACGGGGAAGCTTTTGAAACCTAAGTTGTGGTTTATGTTGTTCACCCGCTACATACAAGGGAGCGTTAGTTTTGTTTCCCAATTCCTTTGCTTTCATCTGTCCAGGTGTGATGGTAAAAGTTGGGACAGAAGTAGTTGCTAGCACTTATCTTCTACTCATATAAAGCGAAATTCAGATGTGTTGTAAAATTGTTCTGTTGAGATACTAGAAGGAGGAGAGTTTGACATCTTTAATGGTATGTTTTCTTGCTTCACAGTGGTATGTTTGTGATGTTTAGAGGATGATATTGTTTTCTCCGAAGGAAAAGTGCTTATGGGTGTCATGGAAATGAGTTAGTTCAGTGACTCATTACTGGTGGTATTAGTCTGCAAACTGGTCGGTCCAGCAATTTTAAACGACACAGCAATTTTAAAAGCTGCAACATCTTAAGATGCAGCAACTTAAGTGGGAAGAAACTCGTGCCTAACCGTAACTCCCAAAACTCTCCCCTTCATTACTACAGCATTACCAACATTTTCATCATCATCATCACCAGCAGAGCAGGCACAACTTATGGCTATCTGCAGTCAGTAGATGGTCTTTTAAGCAGCTTTGGTTGGGTCAATACTGTTCTTTCGACCTCTCACTGTACTCCGCTACAAGTTGAGCAAACGAGGACGACTTGTTCTCCAACAATCTTGCTGGTGTATCATATTCCTCAATCAAGCCTGGTGACACAAAAACGACGATACTACATCATCAGCAATCTGATGTCTTTTTTTTCCTGATACGAACCAAGTAAATGGGTTGAGTCCAGATAAACTCACCGTGACTGAGCAGAAGAACCATGTCACTATCAAGAACAGACGTTATTCGATGGGCAATGGTGATAACTGTGCAATCGAAGAAGTGTTGTCTAAGTGTTTGCTGAATCAGATTATCAGTGGCTGTATCTACTGAGGCAGTAGCTTCATCCAGAACCAACACTTTGCTCTTTTTCAACAGAACACGGCCAAGACATACTAACTGTCTCTGCCCCATACTCCAGTTCTCTCCATTCTCAGTAACTGCAAGCCAGCAATTGAAATCATATTTTAGCTTTACTTTTTACAGTGTCAGTAGGCAAAACCTTTTATGTCAACACAAGAACAAACAAAAAAACCAACCTGCAGAATCCAGCTTTTTCTCCTTCTTCCTAACTTCATCTCCAAGTTGGCACTTATCCAGAGCCTAGCATTTGTCATAGTTAAGACACGAGGAGGATTAATTGAGGAACACATAAACTCAAGAGAGGGCAGATTAGAGCAAAAAAAAGGAAAAAGAACTAACCTCCCAAATCTGCTCATCAGAATATTCCTCAAGAGGGTCCAGGTTGCTTCTTACAGTCCCTTCAAACATGGTTGGATCTTGAGGTATAATGCTGAGCCTTGACCGCAAATCGTGGAGTCCAATCGATGAGATGTCAACGCCATCGATGGTAATCCTCCCAGCTGTTGGATCCACAATCCTGAAAAGTGTCTGTATAAGGGTTGATTTACCACTGCCCGTTCTGCCCACAATTCCTGTTTTCTTTCCTCCTTCAAATGTGCAGGTAAGACCTCTCAACACAAGTGGCAAATGTGGAGCATATCGAACCTGCAAAGTGCGCAAAAATGTTTCGGAATGCGAGTCTGAAGGTGAACTTGTAAGAGAGAAAGGATGGTGAAATAAGGGCGGAAATTTGTACCTGCAGCCCATCAATCACAACTTCTCCATGTGACGGCCAAGAAGGGTCTGGTTTGCTCTCTTCTATTACAAGAGGAGGCTCGCTTGGAATAGAAATGTACTGAAGGATTCTCTCTACTGATATGATTTTGTTCTCCAGATTACAGATATTCCATATCACCCAAGCTTGAATCATGTTTAGATTGAGTCCATATGTCACCGCTAAGCCAGCAAGGGCTGTTGGAGGGGAGAAACCCAAAAGACAATGCAACATATCAGTTTCAATGGTTATACTCTTTATGAAGAAATATAATAGCAAAGGGAAGATGAAGAGAGAAGGTACTTACATGGATCTATTCCAGGGAAAGAGATCAAGAAAAACAAAGAGAAGGCAAATGTAATAGAAGAGAAAAAGTCCAAGCGAACACAAAGCCATTCCATTGCTCCAGCAGTATGAAACTTGGGGCGGGAATATGCATCTGTAAGTTTCATAGAGGTCTCTTTGAATCTTGGTTGTTGATCAAAGCTCCTTATGGTGCTTGTGCCTGAAATTGTTTCAGCAAAATGTTGGATCACTGGAGCTTTGCACACTCCAATAAGCCGTGAGAGTTCTCTAGCTGCTGGTATGTAGTATTGCTGCAAATAAGCAGAAATGTGATTAAACATTCGACTTAGTACACGATAATAACATTTGATCGACAAAGAATAATTAAGGGATTAACATAAAGCCTACCTGATACCAGATGCTGATAGCAATAACAGGAATAAATACGATAAAAACTTGCCATGCCACTTGAGACATCACTGCAATGATTCCCAGAAGCTGTATTATTGAGAAGGCAGTTGCGCCAAGTTGGTAAGGAATTTGCTGATCCACAGCACTTTGGTCAGTGGAAGCCTGTTATAAGCATAGGCAAAAGCTCAATATAAACGCATGGTTTTTAGTATGCAGTAACCAACATAATTCAGTTAGCATGAAAAAAAAAATGGTCAACCAACTTACTCGATTGAGTATCCTGCCACTAGGCGTTGAGTCGAAAAATGACATGGGAGCGCGGAAAATGGACATATGCATCTTGTTGAAGAGCAGGGTTGCGGTTTTGTAAGCTATGGCTGCAAGGATTGTGGATCTTCCTAGGATGCACAGAGAGCTTGCAACAGCCAAAACTACGTATACAGCTATCAGTGTCATTGGAGGAACAGGAGGCTCCTCATCCGCTGACACTGGAGTTGCCCAAGCCATCCAATAGTTGCTGCCAATCTGTAGGATTTGAAACATGGAATGTGCAAGCACTGCCAGTGGTGCAAGAGCTCCTCCATATGCTGTGGTGAGATACTGCCAGTAGACTGAAAATCCAACTCTTCCTTTCTCCCTCTCTTCTTCTTGAACAAGCTGACCCTGTGGCCCGCCTGTCTCTTCTTCTTTACCATTTTGCAATACCTTGTCTCCATCTTTCTGCTCAATCCCGTTGCTGTTGCTCATGTCGCCATTTTCTTTACTGACAGTGCTTCCATTCTCAGATTCCGAAGCTTTGGAATCTATCGCAGACAAAGCGGCCTTATGTGCACCAACAAGCTCCATAAAATCTGATCCTGAGTTCAGAATGTCACTGTACTTTCCAGCCTGAGTTATCCTTCCATCTTTCAATACCTATGCCACCAAAAGTTACAAATGCATTTGAGTCTTTTTTCTTTCATGAATTGAAGAAACAACAATGCATAATCAAGGGGAAGTGTCATTAGGTACTCACCAAAATTAGATCTGCAACGGGTAAGAATTCAACTTGATGTGTGACATACACCACAGTTTTGGAACTCAAATGTCCCAGCAAGACTTCCTGTTGCAATATGAAGAAAGAAGATAAGTTTCATTGAAGAACAAATGAATAAGAACAGAAGATGGAAACGTGCTTGATTCACCTTAAACAAATGAGATCCAGTATGAGCATCCACGGCACTGAAAGGATCATCAAACAAGTAGATGTCGGCATCTTGGTAGAGGGCACGAGCAATCTGAATTCTCTGCTTCTGTCCTCCACTCAGATTGATACCTCTCTCACCAATCCCTGTTTGATCACCAAATGAAAAGAGCTCCAGGTCCTTCTTCAGTGCACAAGCTTCCAGTACTCGGTCGTACTTTTCTTTGTCCATCTCTTGGCCAAACAAAATGTTGTCCTGAATCTTGCCACTCTGTATCCAAGGTGACTGAGAAACATAAGCCCTTGACCCACACAGCCCGATGGTGCCGGATATCTTTGGTACCTCTCCCAGAATGCAGGAGAGCAAACTTGATTTGCCTGAACCAACAGTACCACAAACTGCAACCTTCATCCCACGGTCCACCTTCAGGTTCACATCTCTCAAAGTGGGGTTTGGTGAAGATGAATCCCAAGAGAAACTTCCATCAACAATCTCAATAGCAGTATCAGAAGCCTCTCTTGGAAGCCTCTTCACAACATCATCTGGCAGATCATCGAGACGCAAGAAAGCTACAATCCTGTCAACCGAAACCTTCATCTGAACCAACATTGAAATGGTGTCAGGAAGATTGTAGATGGGTTCCTGAAGAACCCTGAAGGTTGCAAGAGCTGATAGGATTTTCCCAGACTCCAATGGGATGCCCATAAGCATGCAGGTACCAAAGGTGATGACAGAGACAAAAGTAGGGGCACCCCAGAAGACAAAACTAATCAAAGCTGAAGAGTAAACATATCGTTTCAACCATCCTGCCTCTGTCTTCCGCAGCTCAATAATCTTGGACAGGAACTTCATCTCCCAAGCCTGCAGCTTCAGAATTCTCATGTTCCTCAAAATCTCAGACGTTGCCTTCATTCTCTTGTCTTTGGACTTCATCAGCTTGTCCTGATATCCCTCTTGCAATCTCCCCAAAGGAAAATTCAGCAACATTACAACTATAGTGGCAATCAGGGTTGCTATAGAAGCAAGTCCCAAGTTCCTGTACAGTATGAACAAGGCCAGGCTGACTTGCAAAATAACCAGCCATGGATCATGCATGTACCAAGCGAAGTCGCCGATTCTCTCAGCATCCACCGTCATGATGTTGATGATCTCTCCACTAGTTTGGCCCTGCTTCGACTGACACGAGAGGCTCAACCCTTTGTTGTAGATCATCGCAACCACTGCTGCACGCATTCTCATGCCAATCTGCTGCAACTTAAAGAACCATTGCCTTTGGGTGATGCACTCAACAATCTTGCCAACCAAGAACACAGAAGCCAGGACATACCCTTGATTCCTATAATCCCCTTGCCCACTCAAGCACTGAACAAAAGAGTCTATGAGATATGGACCAACATAAGATGCTGCAGTGTACGACAGGGCTAGAAAAGCCGTCAACAGGATCTCTTTCCAAGCTGTAAAGAACAATGCCTTAGCAAGCTTGAAAGCTGTGACTTCACTAACAGATCCCCCATCAGATTCAATCCTTTCCTTGAGAGATGCGAATGCCCCAACAACACTATCATCTTTATAAAGCTGAGGAACATCCTCAAGGTCTAGAGCTTTCTTATTGCCAAGGGCAATTAGAGAACCCATCCAGGAGAAAGAAAAAAGACCAAGAACACCAGCATCTGAATAAGGAGTGACAGTGTCATCCCCTCTGGAAACTTTTGGCTCTAAACCATTCCCTAAGCTAGACTCTTGACCCAATAGTGGCTCTTCCAGAAGTGTGTTACTCTCACTCATGCTTCTGAAGAACCCAACATAACAGAGAAACAGACCAAAGAACACAGAGACGGCATCAGAAACCAAACTTGGTATCTGCGAATAGGCTTGGAGATTGCTGTAGAGAACAAGGTCCACAGCGAGGCAATAACAGGAGACTGCGAGATAAAACCCCCACCAAACCCTCAAGGAAAATGGGAACTTTCTCTCGGCTGAATTTGCAAATTGGGTGTGCAGAAAAACAGTAAGCACACCCCAAGAACAAGTTCGAAGAATCAAATCCAATAGGGTCACAAACTCATCACCTTCCAACCACCCATTCCTATACCAATAGAAGTAACTGAACAGACAAAACCCGAGATTGAACAACGAAACACCCAGAGAACAGAGCACAGTCAGGTTGTAACACAAACCCCGCCTGTGCTTACCTGACGAACCTTCAATGGAGCCGCCACCAGGATCATCACCAGCCCTGAATTTACTCCTCAGGAACCAGAAGAACAAGGCGAGCAACAAAACCAGGTGCAATGAACCCGAAAGCCCATGTAGGAAAATGGGTCTCAGGAGAAACAAGTCATTGACACCTGACCATGAAGAAAAGGAAGAAAAAGACGACGAATAGGTAGAGAGAAGAGCGGCTAGAAACCCTTGCTTTGGTGAATCGAAATTTTCCATGGCTAAGCTCTCTTCCTCGCAAATGGGTTGCTCAAAGTTTTCTTTTTTAAGGGGCTTGGAAGAGGAACGGCGAGCGGCATTGTCCTGTTTTTATAGAAAAGAGACGACAAACAGAGTCTGTTGTAGTCCACAGAGAGAAAAGTGGGAGAGAGAGAGAGAGAGTCAGTCAAAAGAGTGACTCTTCTCGTCCTCGGTGGAAGCGTGGAGGGCAAGGATTTTTGCCTAGTAGAGACGGAAATAGCGACGAGAACCAATGAGCAAATTGGCGAGAAAATGGCCGTCAGGGTCGCAGACAAAGCTGGGTGGGCTGATTTTGGGGGAGAAGGCAAGTAGCAGAGGAACTTTCCTTTTTTAAAAACTGTGGAGTCTGGTGACCAGAGGTGTATATCTCTTTGCTATAACCGATACAAAGTGGCGATCGAGTGGATTTTGTGTCTGATTGTGTTTGGTTGGAGGTTGTGATCAATCGTTTAATTAATAGCTTTTTATGGCTAATCATTTCCTAATAATCTATGGAACTCCATCTGGAAATTTAGATGGCAGGATTGGTGATTCTTGTAACAGAAATTGCATTTGATTCTCTGGCACTAATTTTAGTATTTTTCGTAGCGAACTTGTAGCGTACTTTCTTAGCAGTGGTTTCATCTTTGCTCATAACGTCACTGGTGCATTGGAAATGGATTGTTGGAGGAAAAACTCAACAAGACTTGACATTGTTTAATTTGACCCCAAAAAAAAAAAACAACAACACAAATGAATCGGTCAACAAAGCAACAACCATACATTCTCCCCATCGATTGCATATCCTCCTCGCAGATGGAAGAAGAGAGGGAACAGAGGGAGATTGGAAGACGGAAGAGGCGAAATTAGTAGCATGTCCGGTCCAGTGCTATTAATTTTCTAATTTAAAAGCCATCTAACAGGGTTGTTGTACATTATTTTTAACGAACAACTAGGTAGATAAAAATATGAAAACCCAAATACGAGGTTTGTGCGCGAACGGAATGTTCAAGTTCGAAACCATAAAGCAGTGTCAGGTTTTGTTTCGTAGCGGGGGGAAAAAAACACACAGCTCAATTCGCCGCTCTCGACACTGCTAGCGTCGCGCTATTCGGCGAATGGGGATGTAACTTATTCAGCGATCGTTTGATAACTCTAGGTTTCCCACACGATAAGACGGTGACACGAAATCGTGCTCCCCAAGCTCAATAAGTGAAGTCATTCTTTATATCTCTGTCTTTGTGGAACTTTGAAGACCTGATCCGCTCCGCCGATGTGAACCGTGTCCATGAGCGAGTGGAGGAGGATTAGCTTCAGTCCACTACATGGAACAAAATGGGAAGCAGCAGCTGCTGATATCCATTTCTTTATTATGTCTTTTGTGACCACTTTGCTTGACTTATTGCTTTATTATTCTAATCAAAATCATCATCATCATCGTTGTTGTGTGGACTTACCGAGTTCCTTGCCCTGCAAGCTCGACGGCCTTTCCAAAGCACGATTGGGTTTTCTTTTTTAAAAGACCAAAAAACGGACTATTCTGCCTGGCCACAGTGCAGTGCACTGAACAGACAGTATTGCATTGTTGTCGTTTTCCCTCCATTTTTTGAAAGACGATATGAAATTTCCAAACTCGCGTGTTGGACTTGAGGGCCAGGTTTCTGGGAACTTTGTCTCTTTTTGGTATGTATTTTAAAAAGATCAATCGTTAGACGAAAGGTTGTTGTATTGTTATTGTGGTCTTTGAAAGCTTTCAACCCCAAAACACCAGGCCGATTCGGTTAGGTTCGATTCAGTTCGGTTCAATAACCTATTATAAACCGGTTTGAGGGCGGTACCAATAACCGACCGAGTGGTGGATGAATCAGAGGGGAGTAATGTAGATGCAGACCAGAAGAATCGATTAGGATGGTTCACAGCCAGAGCGTTAGACCGAGAAGAATCAATTCGGATAGTCTAAATGTTGTTCGGAGTTCGGAACTTCCAACTCCAAATGCCAGTAGTTACTTACATATATAAGACTACATCAAAGAAGCAAATTACACCGAGCTCATGGTTATCTCCGCCAGTCGCGCGCTCTACATATAGTTACAGCAACTTCCAAATATAGACAACAGAGGAGGTTTGAAGGGATGATCTTGAGCTTGTACACGCTCACTAGGTCGCTGCAGCCACAAGGTGATCCTGTACAGGCGCGGCAAAGTTCAGGCTTTTAGTAACATCGAAGAAGTGTGCGACGGCTTCTTCAGGCGTTCCAACAAGAACGCCATGTCCCAGGTTCAGAATGTGCCCTCTTGGTCCAGCGCAGTTCACCACTCTGATCAAAGGAACAGAAATCAGTGACACTCAGGAAGACTATAACAGCAGGCATTTTATATGATTACATGAAGTAAAAGAACATATATAGCTCTCTTCCAGTCGCAAATTAATTCATGAACAATACAGAAACGTCTAGCTTAATAGTTGTCATTCACGAACATTTGATCTTCCCAGCCATGGTGGAGAAATCAAATGCAGTCAGCTAATCACTTAGCTCAAACCCCTTTTCGCCACCAATAAGTATTTACTTCCATTTTTTTTCCTTTCCTTACTGGTGAGCTTCTAAAGTTTGTGGGGAATGCGATGGAACACGTTATCGTTGTAATTAGACACAAGTTGGGCAAACAAAACTGAGGATCCTACCTGTGAATTTCATCGGTAATGGCAGGGAGCGGTAAGAACAAGTAAGCAGGGTCGACATTTCCTTGTACACTGATTTCATGTCCCAAACGCTTCCTACCATCTGCCATATCCACAGTCCAGTCAAGTCCAATCACATCAACTCCAGTATCTTTCATACGTTCCAGCAGGCCACCATTTCCATTAATGTACAGAACGAGGGGTGTGCCAGGACATTTGCTCTTGACTGTACTGACTATCTGAAATTTCACAATGGTGACAAAAAAATTAAAATCCAGACACTGATCTATTAGTTTCAAGCTTCTAACAAGTAAATCAACCCTGAAATTTCTGTCAAAAATCAAAGACAGGATTTATAATCCTCAAGCAGCATTTACTAGTTTTTTTTAGTTTTTAGAACCCAAGAAACTTCAGGAGCGTAATATATAGAGTTATCATAAGGGAACACCAGAATATGTAACACAAACATGATGATGGAAGTATGAAAAACAATAGTTGCCCAAAACACCAATATCCGATGATGTATTTGATAGCTGCAAGATGATTGCAAGGTAAGAACCAATTTCCTAACCTCTTTGATATACGGTTTTGACCAGATCTCCCACATAGCGGGAGATAGCTGTCCGCCCCAAGAATCAAATATCTGAATGCAATGAGCCCCGGACTCGACTTGATAAACAGCATAATCAGCTATTGCCTTCGCCAAATGAGCGAGGAGAGCCCTCAGTACATGTGGTGCCGTATGGCACATGCTCTTTATCGCTGTATACGTGCGAGTCGTACCCCCTTCTACTATATACGTACCAATCGTCCAAGGCGATCCCACAAAACCAAGAACAGCTGCTTGCCCTTCAACCTAAGACAAGCCAAAAAAACCATACGATGTAGTTCCATCTATCAGTTCCAGAAAGAAAATGAGTAACATTCTTTTTCAGACGATGATCTTCCCAGATACTAGTTCACATATTAGGCTTACCTCGTTGCGAAGTAACCTAAGCGAGTCCCCGACGAATTGTAGCTTGTCCAGTTCAATGGGATGCAGGGTCTTCAAATGCTCCTCGGAGCGAATCGGAGACTGAATAACAGGACCCCTCACGTCTTCTATGTCAAAAGACACACCAAATGCCGGCAGCGGCGTAAGTATGTCAGAGAAAATAATCACACCGTCTGGGCGGAAAGCTTCCCAGGGCTGCAAAGAAATTTGCACAATGAGTTCAGTTGTCTCCGACCTCTCCCTGAAGGACGGGTATTTCTCGGCTAGCTTTCTGTAAACGGCCATGTACCTTCCCGCTTGCCGCATCATCCACGCCGGAGGCCGAACAACGGCCTCACCTCTCGCAGCCTTAACCAAGAGCGGATCTGAATGAATACTAAGTTCAATGAAAACATAACGACGGTAACAGCGATGCTATCTGTAGGAATTGCGGAGCCGAGAAGGGAGAGTCGGAAGATTCAAACAAACCAGGGAAATGGAGATGTACCAGTGGAGGAAGATGGGGAGGAGCATGAAACTCGCAAATTCCGGCGGGAGATGTAGTGTATAGAGAAAGGAGGAGGAAATAAAACTCCATTGAAATTGTTGAAGCAAAACCCTAGCTGGACGGATACGATGGAAGAGCTCCTCCACGCAACTGATGGACCGCCACCGCTGTAGCCGGGAAGGAGAAGAAATCAGGGTGTAGTTAAAGAGGAAGGAGAGTAATTGTTCGGGAAATGCGGGAAATCGGGGCTTACTTACCTGTTTAGATACGGGATGTTCATTTTCCTATGTCGGAGCGACTAAGTTTACCGGCGGAATGCGAAAGGACCGGCGGGCACGGCGAGCGAGTCGACTCAGGCGGGTTTGGGCTGATATAAGCCCTTTCGCCGCCGGGGTCAATTGGTTCGATTGGGGGGAATCGGATAAGAGGGAAGATTGGATTGAAGATTTCCGATTTACTCTTACCAGTTTCGTCGAGGGTTGCGATCTTGCCACGTCAGCTTTCTTGCGTCTGCGTTGGATATGTCGTATATGTCGCAGCATGTCACATAGTTTTAAACCAGTAACAAAGTGATCACAAATATTTAAATCGTAACAAATAGGTCACACAAGTATCATGATATAACAAAACAGTAATTTTATGTTTATTCATCTACATTTTCATAAAAAAAAAATAACCATTTTGCTTGCTCTGGATAAGAGATAATTTTACAAGGTGATTAAGTGGTTGATAATTTGTTATTAATTTTGCAAGCAAACTAATTGGTTATTTTGGATGTAAATATGGCTCGAAAGAGTTGAAATTTTTGTTTTGTTATATCTTTATGTGTATATAACTTTTCTGTTACTTTTTAAACTTTTCTTACCATTTTGATTAATTACCCCTACTTAGCAGTAAGCTCCTCTAGTAAATTAGTAATCAAACCGGTAAAAAGGGTACACTATCAATCAATGATCGATACTTATTGAACTGTGGTTTCGATTCATCTGAGTTTTCCTGACCGAAAACATGGAGCCGGATTATGAACTCATTACCCTGCTTATAGTTTCAGCGGTCTTTTTGCTTTTCATCAACAAAGATGGCCACTAAATCATCACATCAACTCATGAACAACAGCACAAAGATCGTCACCACTACTCCTCCTTCAAACCACCGGTATGTAAAGATTTATAAATGATCGAGAACTTTCTTCCATTGATAGAATTTGGAGCCTATTTTCATAATACTCGTGAACCATAAGTGATATGATGAATAGAAAGTACATGATGAATGAGAGTTGATTGTATAGTAGTCTCTAGGTGAATGTGTTTAATTGGATAGCGTGGTGGAATCAATGTATCCTTATCTCTGATCTTGAGAGGTTTGTTCCGAAAAGATTCTTGAAAAGCTCGCTGAACTTCGAAAGAACAAAGCATTTTGAGTTCATCCCTTTCGGAAGCCGGAAGGAGAATGTGTCCTCAAATGTCATTCTTATATAGCTAATATCCGTGAACGTAGTTAAATGAAGGTTTGAGTTTTGAAAACTTTTGGATTTATGATGGATTCGTTGTATTTGAAAGATAACATTGTTTGTTTAGTTGAATTTTTATCATGGATTTAGTTGTTCATTTGGTAATTGGTTCTCAAAAATTTGACTTCCATAATGTGGTATTTGCAAACACCAAATGAAATGTGAAATTTACAAATACTTGGGGTCCACGGATTTGGAGCAAAAAAAGTTGTCCAAATCCGTGGGCCCCACGGATTTGTCTACCTTAACAAACAATGGCTTTGGATAAAAAAACATGATGATTTGTATTTGAATTTGGAGACCTTAGGGGTCGTTTGGATGTGGAAATGTAATGCAGTAATTGGATCCAATTACCACATAACGCAGTAATTGGGTTAAAAACCTATGTTTGGGAGAGCAAAAATGGTATGGAAATTGGCTTCAATTACCACATTCATGGTAATTGGGAATACTACACCTCCCCCAAGTAATTTGACATTACCACGTTTTCTTACTTCTTTTTCCAAATTCCACACCATCAATTCCCACAAAACTAAACCCTATCCAAACGTGAATTTTTTTCAATTTCCACAAGTCAATTCCTTGGTTTTGTACAACATGGAAATTCAGACAAATTTCAACGTTTTAAAATTTCCACATCCAAACGACCCAGTACAACATCCAAATCCAATTAGCAAACAACACTTACGTAAATTAGAGCATTGCTCTGAGTGAGGGAAAATGTTTGTGCCTAGTGGATACTAGGCGGTTTGTGAAGCTGGAGTGAGGCGTCTGTCCTTGGACCGAGGGGGGCGCTCCAGATACTCTGCAAAACAGGGGTCCGGGGCGGTCGCCCGGGACACTCTCCGAAGCCTAAGTTAGAGAGAGAAATGATAGTAGAGAGATTTAATGTAGAGAGAAGAGTAGTAGTTGAGTTTACCATTAATGCACACACTCTATATTTATACCTGTTCTAAGGGTGGTTGGGGCATTAAATGCTGTGTCGGGCGCCTCAACCCGTGTCGGGCGCCCCTGACAGGCTTTTTAGCCTTTCTGCAGGCCGCCTGTGTCCGGCAATAAATGCTCAGTCTTACCTGACGTAAGATACGTATCTCCAACGGCTCCCTGACCCTCTGCGTTGCCCAGTAGCTTTATGTCAGGCGACCTGACTCATCCTCGGGTCTGCAGTCGGCCAGGGACCGCCTGCTGACCCGGTCTTCAGCCCGCCTCCGGGTCCTTCGTTGGGCCTTGTCTGCTGGCTTGCTCCCCTTGGGCCTAAAGCCCAAATACGCTCAACTATGCGTCCCAACAGAAAATGATTTCGTCTTCATCCTTACCACAATTGTCAATCCTCTGATTTGACGGCTTGATTTAAAGGAGCTCTCACTGGCTATAATCCATTCAACATCCATCTCTCGAGAGCTTGGTTGTCACGCCAGCCGGAGTGTTATTGGTTGAACCTGGTTCAACCGGTACCGATCATAAAACCGACATGACACTACCGGTATGACCGGCATGATCGATATACGAATCTCTAAATAAAATGATCTTATCTTAGTGAATTTAATTAATAAAACTAATTTATTATTTTTTTATGTGTTTAAAAGTTAAATGTTGATGTTATTTGTTGGATTCAAGTACAAATATTTAGGTATTGGCGTTAAATGTCGTGTTTAAATATGAGTATTTATAAATTATTTGTAATATTAACAGGCATGAACCGGTACAAACCGGTATGTACCACCGGTCGAACCGTTCCACTTGTTAAACCATCACACTGACATAAACCGGTTTGACCTCTAGGGAGTAAACCAAGGAAACAAAAGGAAAACGAAAGCTAGAGAAGGCAGACAGTACAGCAACTTCACAACCACGATGCTTTAACATGATAAGCTAATGTCATACATATTGTGCAAAGTACTCTGTAAAACCTCCTACACAGCACCGCGAGGAACCGGAACTGCAACAAGGCCCTGCTTCCTACAAACCGCCAGCCCAAACGATTCGCTCATATCCAACTCCTCCACCCCCTCCGGCAGCTTCCAGTCGAAATGAAACAGCAACTTCGCGAGCGACAGCTCGACGTTCGCCTGCGCGAACATCACTCCAGGACACATCCTCCTCCCAGCACCGAACGGAATGAACTCGAACTCGGACCCTTTGTAGTCCATCGGCCGGCTCAGAAACCTCTCGGGCACGAACCGGTCCGGTCGGTCCGGCCAGGACTCGGGATCCCTATGGATCGCCCACGCGTTGATTATGACCCGGGTCCTGGCCGGAATGTGGTACCCTTTGATCTCGCAGGCCTCGCTCGATTCCCTCGGCATTAGCAGGGGAGACGGAGGGTGCAGCCTCAGCGTCTCCTTGATCACCGCTTTCAAGTAGTGGAGCTCGTGGAGGAGCGTCTCGTCGACGGTCGATTTCCCGTCGTAGACGCGACGGACCTCGGATTGTGCCTCCGCCATGACCGGAGGGTTTAGGAGCATCTCGGACATCGCCCACTCCATTGTTGCCGAGGATGTCTCTGCCCCTGCCGTCACCATGTCCTGCACACAGTAACCGAACGAGAAATCGACAATGTAAAAATTAAAATATATATATATATATAACACCAATATTATGCGTGTTAGTTAATCTACGGATAAAATAAATCAGTTTCACTATTCTTGACTATATACATATTAACCAATATTAAAAAAGTATATAGAGCACATTCTCCGATCGCGACGAATAATCTGTTTTCAAGTCACAGCGAATAAGATGCAACTACATCAGAACAATCATAAGTATTACCCAGAGGTTTGCTTTGATGGAATCATCGGTCAAGGGGAAGTCAGAGTCGCCAGGCTGCTGATATTTTAGCAGCACATCAGTCAGATCTTCTTCATCTTCTTCATCATCATCTCCATTGACAACTCTGTTCCTTCTCCTCTGTTTATGCTCATCCAAAATACCCTGAACGATCCGATCCTTCTCATTGTGCAGCTTAATCAGCTTGGGTTTCATCCCAGTCACCAATTCCAGCAACTTCACAGAAGGGAAAAGGTTCACCAGCGTGAAACCCGTCATCATCTTCACAATCCCGAACACAATCGACACATAGGCTTCCCCTGTTTCTTCTCCCCTGCATCTCCTCCCAAACGCGGCGCTCAGCGCGATCCCGTACGTCATCTCCACCATCCTCTTGCTCAGATTCACAGCACCACCGCCACCCCCCTCCCGCGATTCGGCGGCGATTCCGGCGACCAGATCGGCCGCCGCCTCCTCCCGGATCCGGCGGAACGACCCGACCCGACTGGCGCTGAGGAGGTCGGACTTGCAGATCTTCCGCAGGTGGCGCCAGTATCCGCCGTAGGGGGCGAACCCGATGTCGAGGAGGCCGTAGGAGAGGATCCGGTTGCCGGCGGTGACGGGGCGGTTGGCGAAGGTGACGTCGTGGGTGGTGAAGACCTCTCTGGCGAAAGCAGGGGAGGAGATGACGGTGGTGGTGAGCTGGCCCAGCTGGAGCCGCATGATTGGGCCGTGTTGGGCCGATAGTTGGGCCAGCGAGCGGTGCGGCGGAGATTTCAGCTGGTGGAGGTTCCCGATCAGCGGCAGCTTCCGTGGCCCCGGAGGTACCCTGCCGCCGCCGGTGGTCGATGATCGGTTTTTGATGACGTTGGTTAAGGTGTAGGAAATTGTGATGAAGGCGAGGAAGAGGAGGAGGAGAAGGGAAGTGGGTTCGAGAGAAAGCTCCATTTTTTGGGTTCACTGATCAGTCTGTGAGGAGCAGTGGAGTTTTGGAAGTTTTTGTGCGTGAATTTCATCGTCGTCTCCAGGACAAGGAAATCTGGGATTCACGAATCGCAGAGGAACAAGTGGCAAAGTAGATGATAAGATGGTTCTTTGATCCGCTCGTTTCTTTTCCCAAATATGGAGAATCGTGTTATGGGAAGCAAAGAAGACCGGTGGAGTGCTGGTTTGTACAATGAGGGAGGAATCACAAGGACCAGGATTGTGAAATTGTATTGGGGTGCGTTTGGATAAG